TCCTTGTTGTACTGCTCGGTTTTGCTTGAGTAATAAAGTGGTTCAGGCCGGTGTAAGCCCGCCGTTGACGCGTCAAAAAAAGCGTGAAAGCAGCTGATCGCAGTGGAGTCAAGGGTGCACATACACGTAACAGTGGCTGGAGGTGCATACGTGGCGGAGATGAACGCAGCCAAAGGTTCAAGATCGGTGGAGCTGGGCACAACAGTAGGGGCAGCGGCGGCAGCGGTAGCCCTAACAAAGTTTTCTTTGTTCTCCGACAGACAGAGGACGGGCTGTTCTAATCTGGGCCTCAGCATATGAGGGGTAGCGAGGAGCTATACATGCACACATTAGTTTGTGAATTGTGACTGATCCTGGATTAGAAAAGGAACTCAATCTCCAAGTTGAAGTTGAAGCTATTTACACACTTCTCGCGGACAGATGGAGAGGAGATCATAGGAACCAAGAGGACAATACAGGATGCTGGTTTGGAAGAACCGATGTATATGCATATCTGCTTTTTTATGGTCCAGGTGGATACAAACTAAAGAGGTTTGGGAAGAACCAGCACAGCCACAAGAAAGCAGGAGCACAACACTGCCGCCGTTGCTATGCTTATCCTAGTAGGAATCTCCACGACGCCTGTGTTAAACATATGCGTATACTTGAAGCCCAAGTCTACATGGTGTTAGTTGCGCAGGATATAGATAGGTTGTCTGAGTTGTGTCTGAGTTGATCTTATCTCTGTAACCGAACCTTCCTTTCTTGTATCTTACGTTTGTAATCTCAATCATCATGTACGCATATCCCAGGGATCAGCTCCTGGCTATTTAACACGAAACCGTCGCCCTCGGTAGGGCAAGACGTTCTCGCAGTTTCCATATGGTATACAGAGCCATCCTTTTCCATCTCATCTAGCCCGCATCCACCACCACGCCGCCATGTCCTCCTCCTCCTCAAGCTTCTCCCAGACCAGCCTTAGCAGCCAGATCACCGAGAAGCTTACCCGCACAAACTATGTGCTCTGGCAGACGCAGATCACGCCATAGCTCCGAGGTGCGGGGTTCTTCGGCTATGTCGGTGGAACCATGAAGGAGCCCGCACAGACTGTCACCACCAAGACAACAGATGGGAAGGAAGAGACATCGCCGAACCCCCTGCATCATATCTGGGTCAGGGAGGACCAGCAGGTATTGGGCTATCTGCTGAATAATTTGTCGAAGGAAGTGCTTGTGCAGGTCACCTCCATTGTCCACGCGCATGATCTCTGGACAGCGCTGGCCAGCATGTTCTCCTTTACCTCTCTGTCCCGCATCAACAACATACGCATAGCTCTTGCTAATGCGCGGAAGAGGCAGCAGTCTGTGGCGACGTACTTCGCACAGATGCGATCGCTGGCGGACGAGCTCGCGGCGGCAGGAAAGCCGCTGGACGACGATCAGCTGATCTCGCACATCCTCGCCGGCCTCGACATGGAGTATCAACCGCTGGTCTCGGCGCTCGATGCTCGCACCATCCCTGTCACGCTCGATGAGCTCTTTGCTCAGATGAGCAATTTTGACCAGAGGGTGGCGCTCTACCAGGGCACAGGCACCGGCTTCAAGTCCTCTGCAAACGGCGCATCACGTGGTCGCGGGGGTGGTGGATCCTCTCGCGACCGCGGGCCGCCATGCAAAGGAAGGAACGCCGCCAACACCAACTCGCGCGGCGGCCACAACACCAGCGGCGGCAACAACGGCGAGCGGCCCTCCTACAACAACACCAAGGGTCGCCGCACCGGCAACAACACCAAATCACACCCGGATACTGTCAAGTGCCAGATCTGTGGCAAACTAGGTCACTCAGCGAAGGACTGCTGGTACCGGTTTGAGGAAGATGAAGATTCCTCCCAAGATGAAAAGGTAGCTGGCCGCGCTGAGGGCTCGTACGGCATTGACACAAACTGGTACATGGATAGTGGTGCTACAAACCACATCACAGGTGAACTTGAGAAAGTCACCATGAGGGAGAAGTACCGCGGATCCAACCAGATTCACGCTGCAAACGGAGAAGGTATGAGGATCCGTCATGTTGGTCATTCAATTATTAAAACCCCTCACCGAAAAATTCATCTTCGAAAAATCTTGCATGAACCTAAAGCCTCCATGAACCTACTTTATGTTCATCGTATAGCCCTTGATAATCATGTCTTTATTGAATTTCACCCGCTCTTCTTTTTTATCAAGGATCAGGCCACGAGGAAAATCCTATATCGAGGTAGATGTGTTCGAGGGCTCTATCCGTTGATTCCTGAGCTTAGGAGGCAGAATAAACAAGCTTGTGGTGCTATCAAGCTTTCATCATCTCGGTGGCATGATCGTTTAGGGCATGCATCTTTTTCTTTAGTTGAGAAATTACTTAGGAAAAATAAGCTCTCATATGAAGAGCGTGACAATGAAACAATTTGTGATTCATGTCAAAAGGCTATGCCTCTT